CCCAAAACCCCAAAACCCCAAAACCCCAAAACCCCAAAACCCCAAAACCCCAGATTAAAATTTTGATATTGACAATAAATGTTTGACTATTTCATGGAAGCTTAAAACCTTAGACCATCTTTACGCGAATTTTAATGCTTTTAGAAGATGCTTAACACTTGATAGCTTCACAAAGGATCTTTTCAAAGTTATCGTATCTGCTGGGTCCTATAGAGAGAGTTAGGGCAAGGAAGATGCTAGATTACTTCTCTATCAATCGCAATATCTTCAATGGGGTCATCACTCTTCAACTTAAGAGTCACAGTTTTCTCTGGCTTTGATTGCTTTGAATATATATACTCTTTTTCATCAATTATATACAGATTACTTGTTTTGTTGACGAATATTTCCGTGTCTAAATTTGCCAAACATTAGAAATAATGGTTAAATAAAAAGGCAACAAGAAAAGGTTATTCAGAGTATACCTGTCATATGAATCAATTCTAATTTCAACGAATATTCTGCATTCAGCAATTTATCTGATCCAATTACGGTCCACCATGGAAGACAATAATCTTCAGTATAATTTTTTGAGGCTTGTCTACAGGCATTTTCAATGATTAATTTCCATTTGATGAATGGTTCTCGAAAATCATCGTTACTAATGAGTTCAACTGAGATACACAATGTGGTATCTACTCTTTTGATTAAAATATCTAAATAATGGTTGGATATTATTCTGAATTTTAAAATAAACTCATCACTTAAAGATTTTCCTTACTATCACTTTCAATCTTATTTGATCCCTTAAAAACTAATTCTTCTTCATTCTCTTGATCCTTGTTGATATCAAAAGACTTCGCAACTTCTTTAATAACAAAGTAGTAACAGAGAGGATTGATTCTGAACTTAATACATCCATAATCCTCCATTTCATCTTCCTATCCAAATTTAGCAAAATCCTGCTCTATTAACAAAACCAAGTCTATTGCTAAGCAAAAATTTCCCAACAACTAAGATCTTTCAAACAATCCAACCCATCCCCACAAATCCCCCACCCCTACCCCCTTCTCTGCACTCACAATTTCATAATTCCTATCTCTCTCTTCCTCCTGTACCTTCCTCTCCCTATAACTCTCTCTAATAGACTTCCTTTCCTTCCTGTTATCACTTTCTCTAGTACCTAGAGGGGGTTGAAAGTGGGATTACTGGTGACTAGCTTGGGGGGTTCTCTGAGAGTGCAGCATGAGTGTGAGCCCATTTTGGGGTTTTGGTGGGGTTTAAATATGAGTATTTGGGTTGGGGTTTTGGGGTTTTGGGGTTTTGGGGTTTTGGGG